AGCAACGAAACTTGCCGTAGATACACAAGTACGAAATTTGGTATCTAAATGTTGAACAAATTAAATAAATTACTGCCTTGATCAAAGAATAAACAAAAAGTAGCGAGCTACAATTTTCTACAACTATTTTATATTAATTTTTCGAATTCAGGGAAAAATATAGCTTTTTTAGACCAAAGTTACTATATACATTTTAGGAGAAAAATGCTAACTATTAATATTTTTCTAAGGTTAGCTTTAGTTTTTGTCTGTAAAATAAAAAATAGATTCTTCTTGATGAATGTCCTTCTTTTTTCGCTGTGCACAAAAGCGAATATCTGCAGATCCCCGGCAGATACATTTGTATCTCTCTATCTCGGTTTGCATAAATTTATTAAGCGGCTAAGCCTGGCCGAAATTCACAATTCTCAATTACCGAAAATATGGCAGAAAACCTGGTCGAAACGTTGCAATCGTGCAGCAGTTCGCTCCATCTCTCTAATGTGTATCTTACGGATGCGAAATACGGACTCTCGACTAATCCGAGTCAATAAAATTCTAACCATAAAAAGGGGCGGTCTCCGGCCCCATTTGCGGGCCCTTTAACCCCCCGTTTAACCCACTTCCATGACTTTCTGCTGGACTTTGCTGACCGTGGTCGAAATTGCAGCTGAGGTCCACATTAAATCTACATTTTGCGGACAGCAAGTGTGTGTGCCTGTGGTCAAAATTGAAATTTACGCAGAGCCGCATTATTAATCTCAAGATTAGACGGAGTATTGTTTTTGATAAACTGAAATGCGAATTATGTACCTAACTGTAGGCATAAATATAAATACATTAGTGGGGAGCGGCTTCAGTGGTTTAAGTACAGAGGGAGAAATAAATATGATATGATGTGATATGAATATGGTGTGATAAATATAAGTTATAAGCATGGAAATAAACATACATTTATTCTATAAGCTCAAATGATTAAATGCAGTGACATTTCAGAAAAGATACAAATAACAACTATGGAATTATAATATTTCTAGCGTTATAATTTTTAGGATTATGATAAAAAAGTTGATGAAATTTTCTAAGTAACTTTAATTTGCAAATATATTTCTTAAACTCAGCTTACAATAAAAAGGAAAAAGAATCTATGTATATAGGATTGAAGCCCACTGTCTGAGAATGTTCCTGTGTAGAACGTTTGCAGGGCAACCCCAGATATTATCCAATGGGGCCCCGCCCCCTTTCAGCCGTCTGGGCGATGGTATGTGCCCGGTTTACTAAAAACGAACAAATATCTTAGCTGCTTTTTAGAGCCAAACTTCGTTTGATTTTTTGGGCATTTTTTTGTGTGTGTGTGTGCTCTCATTGTGCTTCGAGGTTTGATAACCCCGATATAAATCTGGAAAATGCCGCAGTCACTCACACACGCAGTTTCTGGACTGCTTTGGCTTCATTTTGGCCTGGCTTTTTGGACTTGGCCGGTTCCGTTTCGACGGACTTGGGGCTGAAGTTCAATGGCTGGCACTCGGATTCCCATTCTCATTCACATTCAATTTGTGTGTGTTGGCGCTTTGAATTTTTCATGCGACACGTCAATTATGGCCATTACTCAATTTATTTATTTATTTTCCTATTTATTTATTTACAATACGGCGGCTGGACCCGATTTGGACATGGGTCAGGTCCCTGGAGGACTCGGATGCGTTTTGTTTTTCATTTTTTTTTTGTTGTCTGGAGAGTGCTCATGAAGATAAATTAATTTTGGAAAATGGGCAAATGATAGGGTTAAGGGTTAAGGGACCGTGTGAATATTTAAATAGGTAATCCGGGACGAGGGTCATCGATAACCCATGGCACCTCATAAATAGGCACAAGTGGGCCAAACGAATACAATATACACAAAAGAAAGGATTTTCATATTAAAAGTGAACTAAAATACATTTAAAATGGGAACTCAATCATGCGAATCATATTCATATATTCAGAGAAAATATATAGAACCTATAAGAAAGTAAGTCTTACGAAATAAAACCTATATGTAAATATTAAGTTAGTTTTTTAACATTTAATTTAGATCAAATATTATAGGCCTTTAAGGGAAATAAGCCTGGAAATGTGAATTATAAATTAGCATACTAGCACATTGATTTTCTTACATTGTACAATTTAATTTTATCCGTGTGCCTTCAAAGTATACCCATTGAAATTGTAAAACATATTTTTAGGGGTGCGTAATCCATCATATTGTGCCATCCCGTCCGTAAAATGCTAATGTGTTTTGGTGTTCGGCAAAGTTCTGGGCGGGATGAGCTGCGAATCCAGTGCAAAGTCCATTCAATCTCCATTCCCAACGCGGCTGCTTTTATGGAGCTTCACGTGAGTGTGGTAAATGTGAAAACTTTGATGCAGGCGACGCACATAAAATTAAGAAAGGAACTGGGCGAAATGGGTGGGATTGCAGCCAAGGTTATGCCTTATATGTACTTATATCAGAGATGGCAGCGTGACTCACGCCATCGCGGCCATCGATCCCCCTCCAATCAGGCCACAAAAACATATCCCGCCCGCATTCACATTCACATTCGCATTCGCATTGGTTCGTTCATTCATTCATTCAGCCATTTGCACACTCAATTCATTCACACGCCCGAGGAGCAGAAGGTCCTGCCATTCATTACGTGGGCATGGCTGAATCGTAAATACAAAACGGGCCAAGGACAGGGAGGGGGGACAAGGAAGGGGCCAAAGGAGCGGCTAAAAGGACCAACCCGAATCCCTGGCCCGCATTGGATTAGTAGCGAAATGAATAGCTGCAGTTATCCTGCCACAGAACTCACTCGACACTCGCAGAAAATTTATTGAAAATGAAAACTTATTTTTGTGGTATTTCAGTCGTAGCTTAGCCAAATCAAAGCGTACAGCAAAGAGACCGACTGTTCTGAGCAGCGCACTACAAATGCTATCGATCCCCATCAATTTAAGGAACATTTATTTTTCGACCCATTTTCGCATTTTTTATAAGGGGGTACATCAGTTTTTTTTGTGATTCCGATTTTGGTCAAAAATACTCATTTTTTAGTGGTTTTTCAGTCGTAGTTTAGCCAATTCAAGGCGTACAGCCAAAATACCGACTGTTCTGAGCAGCTTGCTGCAAGTGCTATCGATCCCCATTACCTTAAGGAACATTTATTTTTTGACCCATTTTCGTATTTTTTGTAAGGGGATGGATCGGTTATTTTTGTGATTCCGATTTTGGTCAAAAATACTCATTTTTTAGTGCTTTTTCAGTCGTATTTTTGCCAAATCAAGGCGTACAGCAAAAAGACCGACTGTTCGGAGCAGCTTACTACAAATGTTATCTTTCCCCATCAATTTAAGGAACATTTATTTTTTGACCCATTTTCGCATTTTTTATAAGGGGGTACATAGCTTTTTTTTGTGATTCAGATTTTGGTCAAAAATACTCATTTTTTAGTGGTTTTTCAGTCGTAGTTTAGCCAAATCAAGGCGTACAGCTAAAAGACCGACTGTTCTGAGCAGCTTGCTACAAATGCTATCGATCCCCTTCAATTTAAGGAACATTTATTTTTTGACCCATGTTCCAATTTTTTACACCGGTTTTTTTTGTGATTCAGATTTTGGTCAAAAATACTCATTTTTTAGTGGTTTTTCAGTCGTAGTTTAGCCAAATCAAGGAGTACAGCTAAAAGACCGACTGTTCTGAGCAGCTCACTACAAATTCTATCGATCCCCATCACTTTAAGGAACATTTATTTTTGGACCCATTTTCGCATTTTTTATAAGGGTCAAAAATACTAATTTTTTAGTGGTTTTTGAGTCGTAGCTTAGTCAAATCAAGGCGTACAACAAAAATGCCGACTGTTCTGAGCAGCTCACTACAAATGCTATGTATCCCCATCAACTTAAGGAACATTTATTTTTTGAACCATTTTCGCATTTTTTGTAAGGGGGTATGCTAACCAAATGACCGACTGTTTTCCGTAGCTTGAAGCATACGAAATATATATTTTGTAGAATATTTTTCTCCCAGTGCTCTCTGCATTTTACGAGCATATGTGCACCTGGCCGTTGGTGTGTTGCGGAGAAAGCGAAGGTAAGCAGTCGAGTCTTACAGGAACATGCAGCCGGGGCAATGGAAGGGCCAGAGATGGGGAAGTTTTATGAATGCTCACCGATTTGCCGCCGACAAATCTCCTGGCATTGCCTTTTCACCAATGCGACCGCCCAATTTGGGGCGTTTTTCCAGAAACCATTTAAATTGAAACCAGCAACGAGGCAACGGCAAAGGCAGCGAACCAAAGGCCCGGCCCCACAAAGGACAGTCGGCAGCTGGCAAATTGGGGCTCGAATGTGTTTTTGTCAGCCGCCTCATAATGTCTCATCTTTTGGCCATCACACACGCGGTGCCTCGGTCTTTGGTCCTTGCGCCCATTGAAAATGGCTATGACACCTCTAAACTATATGGAATTGCTTCAATGGACCCAGTTTCGGTTTCTGAACACGATGTAATTTCATTTTCTGCTTAGAATGTAATTCTAAAAACTCTTAAAAATTAAATATATATGGTGAAAGCTTCAAATATTTGGGTGTACTTTGAATACTTACTTTGAATACACTTTTTTATACATTTTTTTAATAAATTATGATTTGAATGAACACCGAACGAAATCTAGTTTTGAACATCGCGGGGTCAAATCAAAGACCCTTTGCTGAAATTATGATCGCGTTATTGGTTAACTTTTTGAAATTAAGCCGGAATTTCTCTAAATCTGAACCTACTCGATGGAAAATCAACTATACAAAGTGGCTAAAAACTTATAAACGAGCGTTTATGACGTATAATATTTCATCCAAAAAAAAATGGAAAAAGATGTAAGTCTCTTATGCTTAGGTAAGAGTTCGGTTATTACAATCCAAAACACAAACACCATATTTGCCCCTCTTTAAAGAAGTTCCCAATGAGTCTTTAACTCATTATCAAAACATGTGATAAAGTCCACTTGAAGTTTTTATACTACGTATACTTGTTTTTATTGAATATTGCGAAAAAAAAATCTATCATATATAGAGATGCACACAGAAAACCGAGAAAGGGACCCAGAAGGAGATGTCAAGCGAGCAATTGAGACACACTTCCCATGAAGTCCAAGATGAAGATGAAGATGAAGATGGAGTTAAGTGGTGTCGAGATGACTGCTCCTGCTGCCCCTCCTCGTTGGGATACAGTGACTACTGGCCAACTCAACTGTGTCGGACTGGTGACTGCAACAATTGTTTTCAATTTGATTTGCAGCAAGTAGAGCGAGTTGCGACCCAGCCAAGTGTGTGTCCCTGTCCCCCTGTCACCCTGCCAGTCCCAATCCCCATCCTCTATATGCCCAAATGTCCCCTAATGTTCGGGCTTTCAGTTTGAGGCGCCTTCATCATCATCATCATCAACATCAACATCGTCGTCATCATCATCGTCGTCGTGGATGTCGGCTGGTGCTTCAGTTGCCAAAATGTCGTTGGCCAAAGTTGATGGTTCGGTTTCGGTTTCGACTTGGTTTACAGCCTGCAGCAAAAGGGGGAAATGCACAGTAGAAAATTAAATTAGGGCTTGGAATTATACGATTTCTAATTCAATAACGTTTGATTCGGAAGTTAAGCTTATATAGGTATCGGTGCAGGTGAAGTTTAAAAAAGGTGTAACCTATATAGTTTTCATATTCTTTAAAGAATATGTTGAATTATTGCGTATTGATATCTTAAAGTATTGTCATAGTTGTACTTTAATTTCATCAAGTACCAAATTGTTGAAATTTAATAGAAAATTTTAAGATTTCTTTAATATTAAGGTGACTATTATTTAATCAAAGAACCCTTTCTTTCTTTACAAAATAAAATCATTTAAGGGGTTTTCCCTGTGTACTCATATAGAGGGGGCCCTGGAACCCCACGTGACACTTACATTAGGAACCAGCTCGGTGCCAGCTCCACTTGCGTCCACATCCTCATCCACTTCCATATCCAGCTCGTTACGCTCTGGGTCGCTTATTGAATTTCGCTTAGTCCCCGCACCCGTACCCATTTCAGATCCTGTTCCCTTTCCTGATCCCGGTTCCATTTGCCTCTCCATCTCGGGCACTTCAAGGCTGCGCGGTAACAGCGGCTGTTCTCCGGATAATGTCTCTACGTTTTGGATAAATTCATTAGAGGCCTGGAAATTGATGGACAGGGTCTGGGGAGACCCCATCGGAACTCACGCATGTCCACATGGTAGCCACGATGATCGGCCGTATAGAATACGGTCGAGTATTTGTCATTGGGCAGGGGCACCGAGTAGTAACCCTTCTTGGCCAGAACCAGATCCTTGCCAACGGGCAGCCAGTAGGCGCGTTCATAGCGGGTGTTGCCGTTGTCCAGCTGATATCTGGGGGATAAACATAATCAGATCTGTGATTAAACTTATAATAGAAATTATACAGAATACAGTTTAATTAGAGAGATGTTAAAAAGAAAATAGATTGGTACTTAATGATTCGACACATTTATTTTGATCACCATAAAAAGGTTTCAAACCAACCAATAACTGAGTCGAATTGGATCATAAGATAATTGAGTCTTTGCGACATAAGGTTTTTTAGTTGCTCTCATCAAGAACTGACTGACAACTTTTTATTCTATCACTAAATATTAAAAAAATAACTTGAGTTAAGGTATTAAAAATTTAAATTAGGAATCTTAATGAATTTTAAAGCTATGTTTTAATACTGAATATATAATGACTCTTTTTCATTAACAAGATCCAAATTAGGGAAAATACATGTTTGGTAACATACTTGAAGATCGATGTCAATCTGCAAGATCTTCAGTTTACCTTCATTTTGTATCCTACCTAATAAGAATCTTCCAAAATATTTTTCTCATTTTAAGGGACTCGTTACCTGAACTCGTACTGCCCATCCACTGATCTCTGATCGAAGCTGTCAATCAGCCGGGGACTGCTCTCTGTTTGAGTGGGTTTCTGTACCACAACCACTTGGGGCTGTGGTTGGGGCTGTGCCGGTGGTGCCACTAGTGGTGGCCAGTGGTGCAGGTGCTGGTGGCGATCCGGATTCAGGGTGGTCCTACTGGTTGAACTCCTTGGTGTGGTGGTGCGCCTCGGTCTTCGGGTCCATCGAGCATCGACGGGATTCAGGAGCAGTAGGATCGCCAGGCTGGCCACCAGGAATCGCACTTCCCACACCGCATAGATCCCCTTCGATTGGAACATGTTTCACTCAGAGTTCAATAATTGATTGTGTGGCATTGGGGCGAGTCGAGGCCTTTTATATACCCGAAACCGCCGAAAAAGACGCAGACCACTCGAGTGAAGCCTTTCGGCACTAAAGATGAAAAATGTCCATCCGAAGAGCAGGAACAAGAAGGTGGCAAATGAAGAAAGACCGGCAACAGGCTGGTTCTGAGTATAATAAACCCCTCTTTGGCCCAAACGTCAATGCCAATGATTTGGCATTGCTTTCGGCCGCAACTCCCCCACTTCTCCATTTCCCTTCCTTATCAGACTTGGCCGCAGACTCAGAGCTGCCAGACTTGGCTTTTAAATCTGGCGGATTATCAGATACTTGGCTTATGCCAAATAAAGAAAGCGTCAGATTTATTGATAAATCGTTTCTTTTATATCCGATTTTCTACGTTCCCTGAAGACTAAAATTTTATAAGGCTTTAATCTAACAATTATTTAATGAAAACATTCTTGGATCATAATATGTGGCTGGAAATCGTTTTCTTAAAAATGTATTTCATTATTTAAATATTTTACAAATACATTTCAATAATATATTATTTATCTGAGGTATACTTTATAAGAATTTTAACCAATATATGTAGATACTTAATCTGTTTAAGAAATTATGGCAGAATATATATTAAAGAAAACATTTATACAATTATATTCAGCAGATATGGGCTTAAAATTTTTAAAATAAAATTAAATTAATAAAATATTAAATATTTAAAATAAGTTTTCAAACTTTCCAAGCTCAAGTTCAAGGTTTAAACACATTTGTAGCAAATAATGCCCACAACAAAGGCGGTACAGAAAATTCATTCATGATAATTGCCCCAACATTTGTTCGGCTTTTGTGCTCTGTGGTTAACCCTATAAAGGCAACTTTATTCCCCCCGAGATGCAGACAGCACTGACACCCCAACTTCACCCCCTGAGAACGCTTCTTTTGTCGGTTTTTGTGAGGCGTCACGGTGGCTTTTGTGATTTTGACAGAGTTTTCGGGCCGAGGGATCCTTGGACCTGCGCCGGGATTCTTCTTTTTTGGACTGTTTACTCTGTTTGTTTGTTTGATTATTTGTTTGTTGCGCCGGCCGGCCGAAGTGTGTCAGTCCCAGATGCAAGGCGACTCATCCCGATCCCAATCCGAGTCCATCGACATGGTTCATTGACCAGGCGCGTCATCGTCCCACATTGCTATCGACTTGGCCCATCTTTCGGGCCCTGTGCCTCCCCTTCAGCCGGTTTTTTCTCTCGCCCAGTGAGTTGGTCATCGATTTGGTTGCCCAGTGTAGGCGTCACCATCTGCCCCTAATTGTTTAACCCTTGTGGCCGAGAGTGTGTGATAAATGCCAGACTCCAGTCGCCAGACCTCAGATGGCATTCATCACGCCCCCTGGCTTAAATATTTATGTTTTTCTCGGCTTTTGTTTGTGATGACTTTGATTTGACAGCGAATCCTTAATTGTTTAATAGAAGTGATGGTAGTTTTGACATTTGCATTTGCTTAATGTACTTTTGATACATTTAATAGGAGTGAATCATCTGAACTAGAAACTTTTCCTTAAATGTTTTTAAAATTTACATTAAAACATTTCTGGGAAAAAATGCATTATGAATAGTAATCACCTCAAAAAAATTATACTTAATATTTTAGAAGAGTTCCTCTGATTTATTTTTCTTTAAAATTTCACAAATCCAAAAATAATACCAGTTTATATTTGAGTTTACAAATAAGAACAAATCGTATTTGTTAATGTTACAATTTGTTTGTACATATTTCGTTTGATTTTAATGATTAATGTCTTCTGTATGATTGATCAGCAGAAAAACCACATTTAATTGATAAATTAAACTAAACAAATCTGTTGATAAATTACTGCACAATTTGTGATCAATTCATTAAATTCCGCCAATATAAACTAAACGAATCTGTTGATAAATTACTGCACAATTTTTGATCAATTCATTAAATTCCGCCAATATAAAGCTTTGATCGATCGTTGGCACATCTTTTATTGGATTAAATCAGCTTTTTCTTTGAGTGTGGGAGGCCGCGAGAAATACTTCAGCCAGCGCAGGGTTAACAGTCAATTTGGCAGATTAAATTCCCGAGAGTCCGTCAAACCGCATGCGTAATTAATATTTGTAAGCATTTATTCGGAAACAGTTCCCCCACTTTTCTTGCTTTTTATTCATTTTTTGACAACCCATACAACTAAGGTATTAAGGTGCCGACTAACGGTCGCCGATCTTATCGCATTCGGTTTTTAATGGCTGGGACTTAAGATATTTCGCATGTAAATGCCACAGGCATCGTAAAAAGGAGTTCGAATGTGCAGCTGAAATTCGGGCTTTAAAGAGGACCGATGCGCACAACAAACTAATAAATATCTCCAGCCATATAAGTATAAAATATTGTTTAGAGCCAAAGCAAAAAATGGCAAACTCAGCTCAATCGCTCCGTCTCAGTCCCTTTGTCTGTTGCCCTCTCTGTCGGCGTGTGTTCACAGTATTTCATTTCCCATTTCCCAATGGGCAAAAACCACCGAGCACCCAAATAAACCCACCGCATAGCCATGGGCCAAGTGTCCCACCCATCGTTGGCATTTTCAAGTGTCTAAGCCATGAATTTATATTGCTCGATTTCGATTTAAAAGTATTTCGGTTACATAATCTCGGCATTTTTATCACATTCCAGCACTGTTTGATGCTCCCGGGTAAACTTTCCCCGATTCGTCTGGCTAACTGACCTTCTAACGCCCGAAATGCCCCAAAAAATCCACCCGAAAAACACCCAACGCCCCCCATCTTGTTGTGGTGTAAATTGCTCAATTATAGCCAAGTTTTCAGCTCAGGCCCATGTATCTGTGTATCTGATTGTGAGTATCTTTGTATCTGCAAAAGTTTCGCCAGCAAAGTTTCGCTTTAGGTTGATTACTTCATGATTTTCAGTTGACCAAAACGGCATTTTCCTAGGTCACTGGGAAAGTGTGTGGAAATAGTATTCGAAATTAGTTGTATGCATTTCAGTTTCTATGGAGTTTGTTTGCGACTTTTGGGCGAACATGACGATCAATGTGAACTATGATGGTTTTTTTTTGCAGTTTGAACTCTAAAAACTAAAACTTTAATCAACCATTTCGTTGACTTCGAAAAAATATTAAATCAAATCAAGCATGTCTAGATTGCCATGACTTTTCACAATAAATTAGTTAATTAGTAACTAATTATAATGCGTTACAAATTTAAATCATTATTTATGGTTAGACAACTTTGAAGACCAAACTTAAAACCATATATTATTTTAGAAACTCTCTTTTTCCCCCCGGTTGACTCATGCAAATGACAGCAAACAGAAACAGAAACCGCAATAAAAATCACGATCAATCGCTAAAAGTTCAAAACGTGAGCTAAATGAACCTGTTTTTTGGCCTCTTCGTTTGGCTTGACTATATAATGTACAGGTCGGTATATATCTATTTACGCCCGTATATAAAGCGCTATAAAGCCACGCGCAAGATATGCAAATAGACGAGACAATATGAGCCACAATGAAATCTTGTTACTTTTTACTTTTCAAATGCAAAGAAGACACACGAAATGTTCTGTTCTCGCCGTTTGTTGATTTAGGAAAATTCGTATTTAAGCCAGAGTCGAGCAAACTTTGGGGACCCGCGGATGTGGTCCTGGATTCGGATGGGTATATGGTGGATGTGGATGTGGATGAAGATGTAGATGTGGATGCGGATGCGGGCAACCCCTTTTGGCGAGTTGGCCCAAACAATTTGCGCAGAATTTGCGCGTCCGTCTTGGGATAGTCGCAAAAAACAAGAGGGACAACAACCACAAGATGTACTTACAGGCAAACCTACAGCTGAAAGAACATAGAAACAAAATCATACCGTAAATATGTGTTCATAGACCCCATCAATACGTTTGGAGAAGTATTTTTTCACAGAACAATATCGTTTAATAATTTTTTGAAAAGAAAACAGAAAAGAACACTGCATCGACTATCTGATACCCTTTACTTTGTTTGTTTAGCGGCGGTTATTAACACCGCTGACTTTGCCAGGCCCTTTAACTTAGTTATTCATAACTTTGAAAATATTATACCAATTGTTAAAATTTTTGGCATGCAGAAAGGTTTTAAGAAATAAAATCAATTGCAATTTACACTATACCAAAATCAACAAAAATGTGGGAGCTAGACAGTTTTAAGCGCTCTGAGCTTTAAAAGGCGTTACCTAAAATTTATTTTTATTTATACCGATAGGTGTGCTCAAACGAATGCATTTTGCAGAAATTATTTATTCATAGATATTTGGAAATTTATTTTAGCAGCTGCATCGCGGTGTTATTGGGAGAAATGGTAGAAAAACAAAAATATTCCGTGAATATTTTTAAAATTTTTATTATGAATTTGATCATTTTTTTAGCGTTCATTTGGAGAAGTTTGCCTGTACCGGTGTGCAGAACGCTGGAGAAAGAACAAGAGAGTGGCGGGAAGTTGAAACAAAAGGCGCTTCATCAGCAACAACAATGACAGCTAACAAACAACCGTTAAGTGCCGCAACAAATCGCCAAAAATTGAAAACTGTGGGAATACCGCTCCACGTCAGGGACGCCGCAAAAGCCACGCCAAGCTCACCCATAGCTACAAATCTCGTTTGCCCCATGGTGGGACGTATGCACAGAGAGAAAATTCTGAATCATCCAAAAAATAGCCTTTTTTAGGTCAAAAGAAAGTAACACTTGGAATCGCATTTTGTATAAAAAATAGAATTTTCTTAACCATCCCAAGTCAAAAATATTACCAAAACTTGTATATATATTTATATACAAGTTGTTTTATTCAAAAATAAAAGATTACCTGATCTTAATAATTTTTTTGGAATTTTCTTGAACATAACATTATTGTAAATCATAATTTCTTGAAGTTTTAATGTTAAAATTCTGAAGTAAATTTCTTTGTCAATTAAAATTTTTCCCTGAGTGTTTTAAAGAGTAAAAGAGCACGGAGGTCCCGGGAGAAAATAAAAGACAATAAGAACAAATAAAAAGTATTTTGAAATGCCATTTGAATTAAACTTGAAACCCAGAAACGAAGGAAGCTGAAACAGTGGCAAAAATAAAGCGAGTAAAACGAATAAAACAAAAAGTAGCGCCAAAGCAAACAAGGAAGTGATGACTGTACGGGTAAGCCCCGAGAATTCGGTTAAGCGATTGTTATGCTTCTTATGCGCTCAAGTTCTTTATGGACCACGGCTTCCTGTTTTTATTCCCGGGATGTGCTGAAAGGAATTTGGCCGTAAAGTACGCCAAAATACAGTCCGACGGTCCTAATTTCAAGCAAATAAATTTTATGCCACTTAGTAGCATATGGCTTATTATTTTCTTGTTTATCCCTGGAGTTACGTTCTATCTCTCAGAAAATTGAATTTTTGAAAATTGTGGCTTAAATTCTATAACTAGTTTAGTTTCGTTAATAAAAATTTGTATTTCCTTATATTTATATTTAAAACCGTAATAAAACGAATTATGTAGTTATATCCAAGATTTTTGAGTTAAATATATTTACATACGTGCACAAAAAAAGAATGTCAGTAAAAATTATAACACAATCACGTTGGCTTATAAAATGTATTTCAAAAACACTTTCTAAGGCTACATTTTTATGAGTGTTACCTACCACACAACGTGTGATTTTCAGTTATCCCTGAAGGCGGAAGCAATTAACCTGGGGCACCTCATCGCGCCTCACAATTGGCGGCGTCCTCAGGAACTCCACTGTAAATCATCCCGTTTTATTTGTATCTATTTATATTTAATCCGTATCTAGAACCACTTACCTGGTAGTGGCTGATAGCCATTGGAATCGGCTCTGTAGCACCGCAGCTCGAATCTCAGTCCCTGGGAATCGTGGCGAGGCTGGACGTAGAAGCCCTGGACCACCTGACCATGCTGCTCCTTCGAATAGAAACCCCTTTCCCAGCGACGAACGCCATGGGGAATAGAGTAACTGGGCAAATAAACAGAATTAAAAAATATAATCTAGTAGAATTGCAATATAAGCAGTTATCGAGAGAAAAGATTATAACGTATGTATGGTTTTTGAGATGGGAATAGTTAACTGTTTTGTTATGGATAGCTTTTTAAAAAATACAGAACTATCATTAAAAACTTTTGCTAATAATGTCACTGCTAGAAAAGGCAATAATGCAGTACTTTTCAAAAAATGTTAAAGGATATTTGGGATTTCTCTAGCTTTAAATATTACTAGAAAATTCTTTAGCTCGAATTTAATTTGGTTAGAATGAAGATGAGAAGGATTCGGTTTTTAATTCTATCTTACTTGCTTAAGTATTTATAATTGTCATCGTTATGGCATTAGCCCTGCAAACTCACCCATATACGTAGCTGCCATCTTCGTTAAGGTCATAGAAATTATCGCGCCAGGCGTTGTAGTCCTCGACCTCCTCCACCTGACCCCCAGTTGGCTCCTCCTCGCCGCCCGCAGGCTGTGAAAGAGGGGGAGGCAGTGGCTGGGGCTGGGGAGTGGCCTCCTCCTCCCCCTCCTCCGCCTCCCCGTTGCCCTCCTCCTCCTCCGGGGACTCCTCCTCATTGGCTTCCTGTTCCTGATCCTGATCCGGATCCGAATCCGCATCGGAGGCAAACTGGGAGCGAGCTGCTGTCCCCGAGGCGGGTGACACAATGCCCGGTTGTCGCCGGGTGAAGGGTGTGGTGGCCAAGGGGGCGAAGGCGTTGGAGAGCTGGTTGCCCAGGAGCTCCTTCAGCTGCTCCCGCATCTCGTCGCTGGTCTCCTGGCTCTCACTGCTCGCACTACTCGATTCCGATCCCGATCCCGATACCGATCTCGCTCCTCCGCCAAATCTCTCGAAGCTTTCGCCTCCGAAGTTGGGCAGCTGGAGATCCTGGGGCGGAACCCGCACCGGACTCCTCTGGCCAGCAACTAGGAGAAAAGTGCAGAGCAGCAGCTGCAGCTGCAGCAGGTGGTACCGACTCGATGGCATTTTGGGGACCGACTACTATCCCCTCCGGCGGGGTTCACTTTTATATGGCTGGAACTCCGATCCGATGAGCTGGCCATTCGAACGGCTGACCACAAATCAGCCGCAGCATCGGCCGAGTGCATAAATCTATGGAAAACAATAGCGATGCGATATTGCGCGACAATTTGCATTTCGCACTGCGAGCTCCAGATTCAGATACACGGCCGGCTATCCGGCAGATACGAGTGACTAAGAACGTTACGGACTCGTCGATACCAGAGGTAATTGCTGGAGTCTTCCCAAAAAAAGGCCATTATACCACTGAAATTCGGCAATGCTTATTTTGGAGTTATTTATCTACAAGAAATCAACTAATTTCCATCCAATTGTAAACTGTGCATCACATTTCGTTTAATTAGATCTACCATTTCATGTACAATAGACATACAAAATAAATACAAACACGGTTCATGAAAGTGCGAATTAAGTGGTATTGTTATTTATTATTAATTAGTTGGAAAGATAGTATATAAAAAAAATAAACAATTTTAAACATCAAACGTGACAAGAAATTTAACGGTCATCTCTCGGTAAAATAAAAGAGCAAATATAATCCTCTGTATCAGTAATTTTTTGATATATTAAACAAATTTATAACTTAATCCCCGTTTCCTTTACTTAGATGAAGCTTTCGAACAATTATTTCAAATTAAAACTTAAGTTCATTTTAGCTTTGAAGCACTTCATTAATAAATGAGAAATATTTATAAATTGATTAGGAAAGAATATATATTATTTGTTTTCCTATTCAATTTAAATGCTTTTATAAGTTAATAAAACTCATCAGCATTCTTTGAAGAGGACGTATTTCTAAAGAGAGTCTTAAGAGTGAAATAATAAATGACCCGACCTATGTCGATGACCTTTATTGGCATGTTACCTATCTTTCGAAGAGCCCATTCCAACCCTGCTCCTCCATGATACTCCGCATGATTATGCGATTCGATTTTGCCATGATTGTGACGCCTCCGGGCGGTCCATTCTGGTTCATCTGAATGCGAATGTGAGTGGGATTGTGTGCCTCCGCTAATTGGGTCATCCGATTGCCTTCGACGCCGTGAGCTTCCGTGTTTATCCACATTCGAGTGCCGTCTACTTTCGGGCCGATCTCACCGACTAATGGCATATTTTCGGGCGGAGATTGGAGCGATTCGATTGGAGCCACCCGGGAATTAAGACAACACAACACAACAACATTTCCACAAAATGAATTTTTATTCGATCGCTTTTGGGCTTATTTTATACACATTCAGATACTCACAAATCCTCACACACAATTCTACTCTCTTATCTCTTTCGCCATATCCATTTAAATCCATACATTTTGAAGCATTTTTTCAAGTATTTATTTAATGCTCGTATGTGTATACAACTTTTTTGTCGCTCGACAATTTACAATTACAATGCTTGCAGTCATTTTTGAAAAAAAAAGACAAGGTTTTAAATATTTTTTGCTGGGTTTTTCTGTAGTTCATATTGATACTTTAAGTATTTATGTATATGTTTTTATAAAAAAAAAATTATCATACATTTTACTTAATCCTAGGCATAGCTGACTTATAGTACACATTGTTTTCAATTTACTTTTTTTTTTGCTTTTAGTTTTTCATACTTTAGTATAGTTTCTAGATGCTTTTATTTAGTAAAATCGCTAAATTTCATCTTAAATTTAGCTAGAAAAAGTGTCCTATGGTTCTCAGGGTTAAAACATAAACAAATACAAAATTCATTTAACAATTATACATAGTTCATGTTTAAGCCTAAAAACGCTTACATTTGCTTAGATTTATGTACAAACGGAACGGCAAGATATTTTCTTGACTTTCAATGAGTATGTTAGAAAATTATGTGATAAAGGGAAGAGTGAATTGGCCTATAATTGGAACAGTGTATTCTCTGGTCCATAACAAAATATATTTAAGGATTAACAAATTAAAGTTCTTAAAATTAAATTTAAAATTTGTTAAATTCATTTGGTTTTGTAATGTTTTTTTCAGGATTTAAGAGCTTGTGAATTTTTTCAAACAGATTTTAGAGCTCAAGATGATGGAGTTAAAGTCTAGAGTTTAAAAAATATACCTTATGTTTATTATAAATGAGAAATTAGAAGGAAAACAGAGTTTTTAGGAAAGATACAAAATTTCTTATCTTACTAAACATTTACAATCGGTTAAATTCATTTTTTTAGCTTTATGTTTGATTAAACTTTTCATACATTTTTTGGAGCGGAAAGTGGTATCCTTGACAGATTTTAGAGCTGAAGATGACAAGGGTTACTTCCTAGTCAGGTCAAGGGTCTTTAAAATATATTATATTCATAATAGAAGTGTGAACTGATTTTCACAAGAAGGTTCAAAAGAAATAGAAGTGTGAATTTTCCACACCAAAAAATGTACATACAATTGGCTAAATTCATTTTGACAGATTTTAGAGCTCAAGAATTTTCCATGACTGATACCAGAGCTCAAGATGATGAGGGTCCGAGTCAAGTCAAAGGAACTCTTGTCATGTCAGCTCGACCTTTAATCACTCTAATGATTTGAGCTTTCCCCAGAGCGGGGAAAAAAAGCTGCAGCACTGCACCATCATCACCATCATCATCATCACCACCATCACCATTATCATTATCAGACATCGGACTTGTAATTTTCCCCGTTTTCCCGCGTGGCTGTCGCTGCTCTTTAAATTCAATCAATCAAATGGATTTCCCACACCCTCGCTCGCTCATTGTCATTGTCATCTTTATTTTTCCAGGAGCCATTTCCCCCCCGCTTTTTTTGGCCAGCTGCGACAATATTTACACCATCGGAACCACTCAGACCACTCAAACCGCCGGGATGATCCCGGCCAACCGAAAACCGTAAGCTGAAAACCCAAAACCAACCGCATTACGGTGACCACGCTAATTGCGGACCCACGGACTCCAGGGTCCGGATCCATCCGTCGTTGAGTGGGAAAACTTTTAGCAGGTGCGGAGAAATCTGTGGCCGGCTAATTTATCTAATTGAAAGGGATTTAGATGGCAGATGAACTAAAAAGATTGCCCAGGTCCTTCGTTAACCCATTACAAGCTGTTCGAGAATCAGCAATAGTTGGGAGGACGCTGCTCTTACGAGTTTTAAGGATGATTTTCTTTTTACTGGATTTATTAATCAAGATTTACAAGATAAGAAAAAATATTTGGTTTTAGATCAGCAGTTACAAAGATATTAAATTACAAACAAAAAACCACCAAATCGTCGTAGTGTAAATTTTCACCCAATGGTAATTAATGGGTTAAAACGCGAGGACTGGTCCTTGCTTTTTAAATGGGGACGCGAAATGAATTTCATAAAACTAGCGAAGTGGACCACTCCGAAATCACTTAAAAAACTATTTTCCGTAAATTGCTTGTCGGGAATTGGAGAACCAGAAGCAGAACTAGAGCTCCAAGCCCAAAACCAAACCGAAACCCATACCCATCCCAAACCCATAACCCGAAACCAAGACCGAAATGGAGCTCCGAGCACGTGCCCGTGATGGATGGACTCTGGTCGCGACATCGTCGTGAAATGGACCACGTCCGCAATGCATGTAAATGAAGAAGTTCCTGTCGAGCATTTTTCCGAGCGGCAAACATGTAAGGGAAAAGTGGAACTGAAAAGGTGGGTATGTGGGGCTGTGAGGATGGGAGTCCGAAAACAATGTTCTGGGACATGTTGCTCATACGCCACGTTGTCAGCGGTCTGCTTAGTGTCTGCCGGCACACTCCCCCGTATTTGTATCCGCATCCTTATAGGGTTCCGCATCGGAATCCTCATCCGCATCCGCATCCACATTCGTATCTGTGTCCTGCGTTCGCATTGTTTTCGAGCAGAAAATGCCGCTGTCGCAGCCGTAGAATGTCCGGCAAATGTCGCCAGCAATTGCGGTCCGTCGGCGACAACAACTGGAACAGCTCTCCGGGCTTCCCAGGACCCTTCCCCAGGACCCTCCGGTCCACAGATACTCCGACTGGCTATTGCAAAGGGGCTGGCCGAGGTCAACGGACCGACACATCTTCCATTTGTCTCGCCCAGTCAGCTCCAGTCGCAGCCGGGCTATTAGTGGGTTTATCTCGTCTTAAAGGCCCTTCGATTGGCTTTCACACAGTTTTTAAGACCGTTTTGGGTCTTATACTAAGTGTAGGAGTTTTGGTAAAAATTATATATAATTTTATGTCTTAAGACGTTATTGTGACTTTGATTAGTTGAACAAGATTCTTGGAAAAACTTTTAAGGAAGTAAATTTTTAAAGGATTTTTCATGTCCTCACATAATATACAACTGCGTTGAATGTAATAATAATATATATAATTTAAAATTTGGTAATCACTCATTATTATACTTTTTTATTTTATATATTTTAAGCTAATTAAATTCTTCATTCAAGTGATTTTTTCATCAAAAAGGTTGATTTAAAAATACAGAAATAATTATGTACACTTAAAAAACTCTTTGTAATAACCCGGAAGATTAATGACAGGGAGATTTGTGCTAAAATAATATTATTAACTTAAACGCAGTTGTATGTATATATATGCCTTATCCTTCGCTTCAAGCTCCTTAATTGGCTTTACCAAATCGCAAGAAATAAAATACTTAAAAGTCAGTTAAAGAACTTTTTAAAAACAATGGTTACAGAACAAGTTTGGCGTCTTCATTACGAAAACTTTTGACTGCAGCAATTTAAAAGACCGCGTACACCTTACTTTAAAAGCGGGAAAAGGAAAGCGCGAAACGAGTGCAACGGAATGCAAACCGGATGTGGGCGGCGGTGGGTGGGTTGGCATGTTGCGAGTGGCGAAATGGGTGGGTGAAAGAAGAAAGCACCAGCACCACCCACTGGCCCACTGGCTGATTGCAACGCGCCTCCTTCGTGTCCTTGTTGTGTCATCAGCGACGCTGCGGCTGCGGTTAATATGTTGGCCGATGTCCAGTTGCTGCAACGCATCCTCTTTCCGCCGATGTTGCTGCTGTTGCTGATGTTGCTGCTGTTGCTGTTGCTGCTGCTGATGCTCCTGCTCTCTACCGTTGTTGTTGCTGATTGGCGGGCCATCCTTAAATGTCAATGGGACGTCATGATAATCACGTCTGGTGCTGAATTCCGTATGTCGATAAACACTTTGGACTCCTCGTTCTTCTGCTGTTGCTGCTGCTGATGCTGCTGATGTTGATGCTGCTGCTGCTGCTGCTGCTTGTTGCTGCCGGGCAGGATCGTTGTCTGTCCCATGGCTCCGTGTCCCTTCATCGTGGGCAGACGGGCAGCAATGCTCGGCGGATGTGGATGGGGATGTGCATGATGCAGTCGCTGCTGCTGTTGCTGTTGCTGTTGCTGCTGTGCAAGTTGCTGCTGCTGTGCATGTTGCTGCTGTGCATGCTGCTGCTGCTGCTGCTGCTGCTGCTGCTGATGCTGGTGATGATGGTGACAGATCTCCTGCGGCTGCTTGACCGTCGAGGCCACCAGCAGTCCGCCGTAGTGCGAGCGGCCGCTGTGTCGCTCCTCCATCTCCATGGACTCCTGGCGCGGCAGCTGGTGGTGTTGCTGCTGCTGCTGATGTTGCTGCTGCTGCTGGTGCATGCTGCGACGTGTCAGCGTTGCCACCGCCGGCGATCCCGACGGCTCATAGCCGAAGGTGGAAAAGAAGCGCGGCGGCGGGGGCGGCATCATCATGGCACCGACCCCGACCCCAGAGCCGCTATTCCCGCCCAGCGAGGAGGAGCTGGACTTTTGTCTCATTAGCGTGGCAACACCGCCGCCGGGAGCAACAGCAATACCAATGCCAACGGCAACACCAACGGCCGCACCCGCCGACGGTCCAATTCCGGGACTGTTGACAAACAGCGATTCCCTGAGGTGGGCGGCGTGGAGAAATGGTGAAATGGAGAAAAGAGAGTTGGGAGAGAGCAAAGTGAAAGGTTTTAATATTTGTCAGTCACACGCGAAGGCAATTGGCTGCAAGGACACTGTGAAAAATCAGGTGCAGGTAAAGCTTGAAAAATACCCAAAAACCAGCTGAATATACCTCTAAAAGTATGCAACACTTTTCCAAATTTTGAAATCAGATGTATTTCCTACAATAACTGCCAAAAGTTAACATGAAAGCCTACTTATTAGCTGATCCTAAAGATGACCACATCTATTGTTTTATGTTTGTAAACTTTGTAAACAACAATCAGAAAATTATAATATATGTTTACTGCAGTTATTATTAAATAAATAATTTGCAACTATTAGAAATGTTATAAAATGCATCCTTTGTTTCCCAGTAAGTACATTGTGCGTTTTCTCTCAGTGTGTTTTAGAGGAATGATGTAGACGACGGGGCTTTGGTAAGCACAAAGGTGATTGTGTAGCCGCGGGACAGGGATTGTGGCACAATGGTATGCGCCAATCAGCTAAATCGAATCCGTCAGTTGACTGCTAGAGCATATGGTCCAAAAGCAGGATCCCGTTGACAGATAACTATCTAACACTTTGGCAGTGCTGACCAGTGACCTTTCATATTACCTCAATTCGTATAAATAATAATGCGTATCTGTAGTTAATAAAATTAATTTTGAGGTATGTACAGATTAGTTATGAAAAATAGGGTACGAAACGAGGTGAGATTTGTTATTTATCCAAAAAAAATAAAATCATAAGTGTTAGTATGGGGATATCAGTTGGAATAAATAAGAATAACACCATGAAATTGGGTGGAAAATGCATTATGTATTTTTATTAGTCCAATCACCATAAAATCTTATAACAGGGAACAATTTGGGTTTTGTTTACACTTACAACACTTATGTATTAATCTATAACTATAAAGGAACATTGAAAACACAAATCATAGTAATCTGAATCGAAGTTAGTTTTGAGACATCAAGCAAACATTTTAAAACAATTATAGCACTTGTGTCTTAATCTAAGTCTCTTTAATTCGAGCCAGTTATATTGGTAATCGCACATATGTACAGTGGCACCCAGCGACAAATGCCAGCCCTCTAATAAATCACCCCGAACAACCTGTAGCAGTTTGGCTGTGACAGTGACTCGTTCCCATCACTATTCGGTGGCATGAATCATCTTCATCTGGGCACGTCGGCATTGTGTCACTGCATTCCGCCTGTCAGCCCCGCTGCCATTGCCTATGTCTGTCTGGCTGTCAACCCATCCTGCCATCCTGCCATCCTACTATCCTGGCATCCTGCCACTCCGCCACTATGCCATCCTGCTAACCCACATTCCCGAATCCTGCGACTCCGACTGTGCACGACCTGTCGCTATATCCAATGAAGACGCATGCAAATACAAATATTTGCATCGATTTGTGTTGTTCGAGCAACGACATATATAGTACATCCAAAACCCATGCCCCCCAGTGTAACTTTCTGGATTCCGGAACATAGACCGGGCTCCACATTGTCATTGTTTTTAGTGTTTGCCGCCGTTGACTTTGCAATTTTCTGGCATCTATTTGACTGCACTCACCCGATCGGGATGGGAAGTGGGTAACTGGGAGTGGAAGTGGGAGTGGAACTCACCTCGTCTGGCAGCCCATATCGCAGGCATTGGAGGGCACCGCCGACATGGACGCCTTTGTCATCAGCTCATGGGTGGCGGTGGTCGTCGAGCTGGACTCGCCATCATCCTCGATGCCGCAGAGACTCGTTTGGGTCATGTCCGCGTGCCGGCGCAGGATGCTGTGCTCCTTCTCCTTGAAGTCCGCCTTGCTCGACTGCGTCGACAGGGGCACGGCCTCGCGGTAATATCGGTTCGACACGTCGTCCAGGATCTGCAGCGAGGTCTGCGAGTGCTTTTGCCTGCGGGGCGGAAGAACCAGGATTAAATGGGGCCATATTCGGTCTATCACGAATCTCTAGGAAGAAGCTATGGGAACTTCAGAAATTCCAGCGACATTGAACTACAATTTTAAGGCGACTTTGGACCACACCAAAATAATATCTTTTATATTGATACTAAGCAGTTTAAAGCTTAAGTTCTTGTGTAGTACATCATACTAATACGAATTAAATACCAAAATGGCAAGCGGATTGGAAAAGATTTAGTCAACATAATATCATAATTAAAGTACATTTTTTAAGGTGTAGAGAGTTAATCAGAATTTAGATTCATGTAACTTGACTCATATAAGGACCATAGGGAAGTCTAAGTAGTATCGTATTAAGGTCCAATTTGTAAATGATTATCATTACAATTTTATTTAAAGAAGGCCTTGGCTTATACCGAAAGAATCTCTTAGGCTAAACAGAAATCTTAAGTTCTTGTATATCATATAAATACGAATAAAATATCAAAATAGCAAGAGATTCCTAAACTCCCGTAGGGTCCATATTAACGTCTTAATTGTAAGGTGTAGTAAGTTAATCAGAATTCAGATTTATATAATATTTATGTTAAGCTGACAACAATGAGTGTTCGACAATCAGTCGTCATGTTGAGTTCCAGTAAAGTTCATCATCAGAGCACACACTGCGTATACGTAATGCGCGGCCTTCTTGAACACCAACCTATTTAAGATTCAAGACCCATATGGAGACTCACCTGGAAATGTTCTCCCGTGAACGACCCTTGGAATTGCGGCCCATCTCGTCCAGCTTGCTCTCCTTTGACTCCCGGATGTGCTCCTGCAGGGATTCCATGGAGAACCGATTGAAGGATATATATATATGCGGAGAGAGAGAGGTGGGTAAGACCAATGTAATAAGCATAACAATAAATATTTTCAATTAATTTGGTAAGGAAGGGGGGCTGGGAGACGGTTTAAGCCCGATTCTGGCATCGAGAGTGTCTGCAGAGCGCCGTAATATGATATCCTTAAAGCCCACTGCACTGTGGACTATGAGGATGGCCTGAAAAGGGGGCGTGGCTGAGCAATTAAGCCAGCAGCCACCTGATGCCATCTCCCTTCCCTTTCTCTCTCTCTCTCTCTCTCTCTCTATCTTTTGCAGTCATTAATACTTCGATTGTGTGTGTGCGAGGGAAAGGGAAAAGGAGAACGGAGAAAGGAGAAAGGAGAAAGGGGGTAGGATCAGGGGTGGATAAATCCTGCTGGGCGAAGCACTTGATGGGCTGCATAAAAGGAAGCGTTAATACGTAAATACAGAATAATGAAGGACACAGGACGAAGGACGAACTGCATCCGCGAGCCAACAGGCACTGCAAATCTCGATGGCCACCTCATCTCAAACCACCCAGCCGAAACCACCTCGAGTCGCATTCATAATGGAATACAAGGCAAACACTGCGTGCACCTTTCAGTCTCCCTTGCCAATTACTTTCCTTATTGTAGAACATCCACCTCGTTCGAATGGAATATAATGGAAAAATGAGGAAAATTCAATGCAAATCGCAGGGAAATGCGAGTATCTACCGCTCGCTTTTGGTTTCCTCTGCTTCTTCTCCTTCTGACCAAAGCCAAAATGTAATTGGTTTGTAAAGTTAACAGTCAAATGATCGACGGTACACACTTAGTTTTGTTATATATTTATTTTTCATTTTCTATTTTATATATATATATATATGTATTTATATTTATATAGCCTTTGTGCTGTATTAGTTTTGGCAGCCATTCGTTTAGCCAACAGTTAACTATGTACTTAGCTTTGGATTGCACGATTGTCCAATGGGAACTTTAAACTTTTACAATTTTCAATAGCTACTTGGGGCTTAGAAATGCGAACCCAAACGCCAAGGGTCGCTGTAAAATTATTCAAACTTTACTGGCTCTCCCCCTTCCAGTTTTGGCAAGATGCAATGCTCTTGATTTTCCATTACTACCGAAACCACCTCTATTTTTCGCATAATATTTCTATAAACTGTAAGCCTTTTAATGAGGTTATATCCATAATACTGTTAACTATGTTCGCCCAATGTCGCATTGAGTATTCCTACCTAGGAGGGGTATATCTGGGATATAGCCCGCCATACAATTAGCAGCTTAACTTAATGAGGGGAAAAGGTCGCCCGACTGCACATCCCCCCCAAGGACCTGGATTTGAATTTGTTCTGATTTCGGGTTTGCGGTGAACTCAGCACGAACGACGGGGGCAAACGAAGGTCGGGCCACAGGGGGAAATGGGTTCGATATCGGGTTTCTTTTTGCGAATTTTGCCAGCCTGATTTTAATGATGTCCATGCAGATGCGCCTGCAGCAGCAGCAGGTGGTCAAAGGCCAGGACCCCAGGACCACCACCAGTGCCACCACCTGCACCGCAGAACGTGAGCGAATAAATTTCGAGGGACACTCCCATTTCTAGATGATTTTGTGCAGGAACTTGAGGGGATGATGGCCGCCGGCCTTGGGCTTGGCCAGTGCTGGCGGTGGGGGCGGTGTTAGGACCATGTCCAGCTCCATGGAGGTGGACGAGCTGGTGGCCACCGTGCCGCCACTGGGTCCGCTGCTGCACTGCATCGAGCTGCTGCACGAGTGGCTGGAGTTGCTGGGCAGGCACTGGCCGGCGACCAGGACGAACTCGTCATCGTCCTCGGGCAGGGTGAGACCGCTGTCGCTGTCACAGCTGAAACCGATGCCATCGTCGTACTCCTGATCCTCCAACTGCTGAACCTGCTCCTCCTCCTCCTCCTCCTCCGCCTCTTCCTCATCCTCCGCCTCCTGCTCCTCCTCTTCTTCCATCTCCATCCGCTCATCGCCATGGTCCACATCCGCATCCACATGCATATCCATATTCAAATCGAAATCACAGTCACACGTCTGCTTGGGGGAGTCCATCTGCGAATCAAAGTCAGAGTCGCCACCAATTGGCCGCTCATCTCGGGCCTCATGCCCCACGTTGGGCGCCAATTGCCCGTCCGATGAGTAGGAGAAATCGCACATGAAATCATTCTGTAATCCCACGAAAATCGCGCTCTTGGGCGCATCCAGTATAAAGGAATCAATGTGATAGATTCCGTCACTCAACGCGGGCACCTCCTGTGGATGAAGCACAAACAGAAAGAGAAGACAGGCAGAAGAGAGAGAGAGAGAGAAAGGGAGAGATATAGATAGAGAGAGAGAGAGGGAGAAATATAGATAGAGAGAGAGAGAAAGATGTTGATTTAAAGACAGAGAAAGATTGTGAGCTTTTCACATCACCGATTTAACCAAGAGAAGAGTGAGAGGAGACAACTCTAGAGCGAGACAAGACTACTGATGCATGTGGCTGTGGGTGTGTGAGCGAGCGAGAGCGATACAGTTGGATAGAGGAGGGTGTGCGTCGTTTGCTACATGCATGATGATGGCAACTCTGGCTACTTAAAAAGCATACTCACGACAATCAAATGAAAAGCTACAATTCCCCAATTCCTTTTCCAATTCGAAATATATAAAATCAGTGAAATTTATGTAAGCTTTAAGCAGCTTCATCTTAAACTCTATAATTTAGTTTTTGGCTTAAAGTCTAAGTTTTTAACAATCTCAAAAGCGGTTCTTAAATGTATGCTGATGAACGATGCTGAGACTGTGAATTATGTTTCGATAAATGTAGAAATGTTGTTGGCTTTTTCAATTTTTGGGAGTAAACAGAAAACTGTCAGTAAGTCAGGCTAGTCATTGCATTTTCAAAAAGCCTTGGCAAAGGTAAAATGTTTACAATTTTAATTTATAAACTTGTGTTTAACCTTTGGCTTACACAATTCAAATCAAATAACTCTAATTGATATAAAAAAAGCGCATTCAATCACCTAAGCCCTCTATCAGTAGAGATTACGAAATATGCAACAGTGCTGAGAGCCCAGTTATCCGTTGAATAAATCCCATCAATAAATCCGATTGGAAAATATAAAAATATGTGCAATTCTGTTCGTTTTTCTAATACACAAATTGCAATACGACTGCGAGTAAATGGTAGCCAAGGCAATCGGTGCAGCACAAAAGTATATTTGCAATATGCACACAATAAGTCCCCAACGAATCCGAATCCAGGCAACTAATCTGATTTGGCCGAGGGGAGCGACTCTTTGCCAAGAATTCTCCACCCTGTTCCGATTCCGATTCCGATTCCCATCCCGTTTGTCTTCGATTCGTTTGCCAGCAGCTGGGTCTGGTGCAACAAAAGTCAACGATAATTTAATCATGTCCCTCACTGGATCTCCTGGTAACCAAGACCGAGTGGACACAAAGCCTGCGGGCTAAGCCGGTGCGAGGAAAGGAATAGTTTATTCCGTTTGGATTGTATCGTCGACGATTTGCCACTTGCAGCTCGGCCAATTTGTGGCCTGGCACTGCGCACTTGGCGTATGAGTGATATGCAAATGAATATCCACTTCAGTGGAAATAAAACTCAATTTGCGAGAGAGTTTGTGCCATAATTAATAGATATCATTGCAGCAGATTGCAGCTGTCCTGTCATTAAACACACACCGTGGGGGGCGAGAAAGAGACGGCACACAGGAGTGGCGAAAGAGAGGGGTATATGCATGTGTACAGACGGAGAAAGAGATGGGGCCACAAAGACGTGACAAGTCGGGCCTTCTGGGCCTGCTGATGACGGCCATCAAGTGAGTTTGTCTGGCTCTGATTTTGTCTGCTTTTGGCCTTGTTCTTTTCCCATTTCCCCTGTCCCTTTCTTCCTTTTCCCCTGCCAACTTCCCTTCTTCCGGCCTTCCGTTTGCGGCCTACAGCTAAATTACTTTGGTCAGTTCTTCCCTGCCCTTTGTGGTTGAGTTTTATACATTCTCTCGGCCATTCTCAAAGTTAGAAGAAAAGCATTTAAGACTCATTTAATCATCCTGCGACTTAGCAAATCAACTAGTTCTTTCACAACTTTATGGCCGGATTGGACACATTGGAAAGTGCCATTTGGACTTACTTAACAATAGTGGCTAATAGCATGTGGAATTAAGAAATGGAAAAAAAGGATCCAAAGTTGAGGCAAATAATATTTAAATAATATTATACTAATTAAGTTTAAGATAACATTTTAGTAAAATAATACTTAATATTTAAAACACAAAATTTTTTTTTTTTTAAATGTTATATGTACTAAGTACACAAAATTTTCTAAAATAAAGCCTTACTTAACTTACGTATAATTCAATATAATATAAGGTATATAAACACATCTACTTTCAAAGAAGGACTTGAATATTATGAAAGTAATGTTCCCAAAGTTTTGTTTCGGAATATTTGAGAATCCATAAAAAGGCTTCATTAGCTGTTAAAGTGAAAGTGTGAAAGGGTATTTGCATAGAGCTCAGGGGCTTGCCCCATCACCCTGACCCATAAATTCAAGTGTCCCCTGTCCCCTCGACATCCCCCAAGCTCCTAAGAAATAGTATTTGATTAGTGGTTTGCTTCACACGAAACTGTGCCAGAAGTGATTTCTGTGAGGAGACTGGGCTTATAAAATACATAATCAAACCGCAGGGCAGATTTCAATCCCATCCAATTCTGCGGTCATGGGGTCTTGGGCTTAGTTCAGTTTAGTTTAGTTACTTTCTTTGCGATAAAGTTCCGTTCTGTTTGTTTGCTGATTTGGGCTTAATGCCCAACGCTTTGTGCCAATTAGGGGCCAAATTAATCGAGTTCACATTCGTTTGTCTTGGACACACTTTAATTGGTAAACACAATTGCGCAACTACGAGTTTCCAGTTGAATCGATTTGGCTGTAATGGCATTGCCCAAAAA